ATTCCATTTTTTTAATATGTTAGTTAAAAGGAACAGAAATGACTGCCTTTGGTCCATTCGTTTCCTGCAAAAATCAACTTTTGCTAGAGTCACCATCTAGTGGAAGTGCTTTTTAGTGCTTTCGTTTTTTTTAAAATACTTCCTCATTAGTGCAGCGTACAATACATGGCACTCCATGTATATTTTCGACTGAAACCAAGAAGTTTAGATATCTCTATATTTATTATTATATAGGTCCTTTAAGATAAATTTGCGCCATTTATATAATTATACTGTACTAGTATCAACTAAAGTATCAAGTAAAGAATATACGAGTATCTATAATAATAATGTGCCGGTTTCGTAGCTTGGGCGAATGAATGAAAGGTTGACTTAACTTGAGAATTTATTTATTTTATGGTAAATAAGTAAAGGGTAAAGAAAAAACTGTAACAAACAAAAAATTACCTAAATATAAATTAGAATTGCTAACTAGAATTTTTTTTTTCTCTCAGTATTCTACAACTAACCAATAATGTAATAATTGAATTTTAAAATACTAGTGCCTAAAACCATTAATTACTGACAACAAGGATGAATGAAATGATAATTTGAGAAATTTCTTACTTGAAATTATTGTTATTAGATTCAAGTTATTTGATCGGTGAAATTTTCACGCCGAAATTTTCACCTATGACTTTTTTGTACTTTTCACAAAGCTTAGTCTAGTGAAGTTTTTTAAATCGATTAGGAGCTATGAAACTTACCTAAACCATTTTTAATTTAAAGTTGAAAATTTAACTCTTTCTCGAATTGAAATGTAATTTATTCATTTTGATCAAAATTATCGTAACATGCAGCAATGCTAGGGGGGAACTGTGATGCATGTGAAAGAGCCGTTTATTAAGATTATGTTTTAGAAAAAAAAAACAAAAGAGCCATTAGGTTTTTATTTTTTAAGTAAATACTATCAAAATTTCCTATGAAATCATAAAGAAAATCATATCTCGAAATCTACAAAATATCGCGGAACATAGATGGGTGTTTTCGGGTACACAAAGGTGGGAGCAATTTAAAAAAAAATTTTTGACGTCGCTTTCTGGATCATCCTGTATATAATTTCTATTTTATATAAATAGAAATTATATATTATAATTATATATATAATTTCTATTTATATAATTAATTATATATTCTATTTATTAATTATATATTATAAATAGAAATTATATATTATAATTTCTATTTAAATATAATTTCTATTTTATGTAATACAAACTTTCAAATAGATTGCATATAAATGACTGACGTTTTACTAGGATTTTGTAAGTATTTTTATGTAAATTTGCATTAATATTTATTATTTACGCTTCATATTTACTGAATCGTAAGTATACTACTACTTGTTTTGTTAAATTTTGTCGAGAGAATGTTCTTAAATTTAGTTAATTTTACCCAAAAAGAAGAATGAAACAGTGATGAAGATGAATAATGTAAAGTAGTTATTTTGTATTAATAGGAAAAAATGATATGTAAGATTCTTAAAATTACGTATGTAAGATGGTAAGTGATTACCGTCGCCCATGGACACCTGCAACACCAGAAGGGCTACAAGCGCGCCGGCCTTTGAGGGACGAATATGCTCTACGCTTGAAAGTTTGAAGGTCGTATCGGTCCGGAAATACCGCTGGCGACAAACTGTTCCAGAGTTTGGCTGTGCGAGGCAGGAAACTTCTAGAAAAACGCACAGTTGAGGACTTCCAACCATCCAAATGATGGGCGTGGATTTCTTGTTACGTGGAACGATGGCGGAAGGTAGCAGCAGGTATGAGTCCGAAATATGTAAAAACATTTCAAAGAAAATAACATACAGTAATGATTCAGTCTGTTATTCAGTAACATGGATCACAGTGACCTTGCTCGCAGAAGTTCAGTTGAAATTCATAGATGTTTCATAATGATTATCAAAGTATCTAGGTTATTTGTTTAGAGTAAACATAAACGACCATGCACCAGAAACGATACGTTGTTGCACAATATAATTAGGTGTATTGAGTCGTTAATACTAATTATTATAACGAGAAAAGTTCTTTTGTCTTTTTACTTCTATATTATTTTCATTAAAACTGTTATAAATTGAAATATCTACAAACACATTGCTTTATTATTGGAAAAACGGGACCTCCCAATACAATGTAACCAAAGCATTAGTTTAAAAGGAGTCTCCAAAAATGTAAATACTATTTATGTAATTACTATTGTATAGAATTCAATATTACAGATATTGTTCAGTTCTCTTCGAAGTGGTCTCCGGGTTAAATCCCGTTTTAATCACCACTTCGGGTCGCGTATCGCCTTTATGGAGTGGGACATCGCTAAGTTTTAATCGGTATGTCCCCTTTTTAAGCAGCCCTCGTATAGCTTACATGCTCCACAGGGGAATGCCGCACATAACCCGCTGACGACAAAAAGAAAATTGTGATGGTAGCTTAGCCACTGCCTAAATTTGTCGCTCTATAGTTAGAAAAACTTTTATTTAATTTTAAGGGCAACTGTGATCTGAATGAATTGAAATTATAATAAAACAGCTTATAGAATGTAATTTCTTTATACTAAACCAGTCGAAAGCATGTAATTGTTTTTGGATGTACACACTCTCTTTATAGTCTGCACCCCGAAAATTATAGTAAAATGAAATAAAATACAAATGCTCTATCAAAATTAATGAAATCGCGACACAATCGTCATCGATTACACCTTAATCTGCCTCGTTATAGAGATATTTTTTTTTATCCAAAATATAAATACGACTTTAAACTTCAAAGTGATAAATAATACTAAGCTTTACAGCGACTTCATTACTGCTGTCTAAAAAAAATTTTGTTGATCGATCAACAAATATATAGACATGAAAAAAACATATATCGCCTCCGAACATATAACCTCCTCCTTTTTGATTTTGAAGTTGATTAATGAAATATATTTATTGAAGACGATTAGTATAGTTTGCATTCACCAAACAAGCAAGTGTTATTGAATTGGAATGTAATATATGTATGTTATTTTGTGAAGTTCCGTGGCGTGAATTGTTAGAGAGTTCGGTTTTGCAATGCGGAAATCAAGCAACTCTCACTAGAGATGTACATAGGATGGGTGACCATAAATTTATTATCTCCAGCTCCTCTGTAATTTGGAAGGCATTTCAAGCCATTGGGCCCTGCGTATGCAGTCGTTAACAGCCACCAATTTGCGCTGGCCCGCGTTCATGGCCCATTCTTACTAATCATCATCATCATTATCAGCCCCTTTTACGTCCCCACTGCAGGGGCTCAGGCCTTCCTTATGGATGGTTGAGAAGGATGGGCCATGACCCTCCACGCTGGCCCAATGCGGATTGGAGGGTATTAACGACTGCAAATGCAGCCGGGACCAACGGCTTAACGTGCCTTCCGAAGCACGGAGTAGCTCGAGGTAATAACTTTTTGGTCACCCATCCCGTGACCGACCCTTGCGAAAGTTGCTTAACGACTACGATCGCGGGCCGCGGCGCTTATCCACTACGCCACCGAGCTACTTACTAATCAATTTGTCAATATTCCATCCATAGAGAAAACATCCCTCCCATCGGATACATTAATATGAGATGAATGAAGTTATTTATTGGAGTCATGTATTTTATCGTGGCGCTTGTAACAGCGTCGAAATAACGGGGACTCTTGGGGAAAATCGGGTAATAGCTACTTTCACGCGTTTCCGCAGAAAGAAAGGTAAGTACACATTTCTTGTAATTTCATAGTACTCGCGTTTAACGAGGTCACTTCATTCATCAGTTAGCGATTGACGAAAAATACCTACGTAAAAATATACAATAGATACGCAATACTTACTTACTGTTACGTCAATGTAAAAAAAATAATTATAACAGTCTGATTTTGTTATGTTGTACTTATACTATTTCATGTTAAATAACGTTGTAATTACATACCGTTTTTATTTATTACTATATGTTGTCCCGCGGCTTCGTACACATAAATTATAGCCTATGTCAACCCCGTAGGTAAAGGAATTTTTAAAATCGGACCAGAAGTTTCGGCTTCTATTCGATGCAAACATATAATCAAATCTTTCCACTTTATAATAACTAGTATAGATTTTACGAATATTATTTAAAAACAGTTTTGGTATTTGTTTTGTCTTAGATTTTCTTCTGCATTTGTTATACGTATATTCATAAAATCATACGGTTAACGTATTTGGAGAACCGTTATAAGTCCCTCGGACTAGTAGGATTACAGGCCTGAGAAACCACAAATTCTTAGCCTGAGAAAACTGTCCGTAGAGAATACATTGGTTCACGTTATCTTCTAAATATTTGTGGATTTTGCAATGGAACAATATTTCGATCGTTTCGATTCGACTTTTTGAATAACTCCAATTAAACTACGATAGATCAAGAGCAAAAAGATTTAAAAAATATGAGTTTTTGTTACAATAAACGGTCTATTCCTGTAATTTTTCAGAACTCTATTACTCAGTTCCAACGTTCTCAAGGTCATAGGATGGATGACCAAAAGCTTACTATGTCGAGCTCCTTGCAACGGCTTCATTTGCAGTCGTCAACACTCATTAAACCGCACTTAAGGTTTTCAAGGTCATATCTTAGGTTCCGGGTTCAATTCTCAGTCGGACAAACATGGAAGATTGATTAACTTTTCTGCGGTATCTTCATTTCGTTGGCGCGCAATTTTTATAATGCACGAAAAGTTTTTCGACTTGTGGACTTAATTTGTCATAACAAAATATAGTAACCTGAATTAAATGCAATTTCGTGAATGTACATGTAGATTAGCAATCAGCAGTGGAATCGATAAACACGCCAAAATTTAGATCAGTATACCAGCCAATTATTGACGAATGCCATGTGTCGAATAGTTTGTTTTGATGAACGTTACATCCAATGTAACTTTCATCGAAACAAATTACTCAATATACAAAAATCTTCTCAAAATAAAACTTCATTAATGCATAATAATACTGCGGACGAAGTTTTAAACGTACTGTTAGTAGCAAAGTCGAATGTGACGAATTCTATTATATAAGAAGTCGAACCAAATGAAAAAGTAAAACCAACACTATTGCAAAATCCAAAGCAAATTATTATTTATGGAATGCGAATATAACAAAAGATACAAATTCTTCAAACCCTAATCATGAACCGATTGAAGTTTATGGGAAAAACATAACAAGGGATGAAATTACCAGTTTTGGTATATCTTCAAAGGATAATGAAATGAAATGAAATGAAAATATCTTTATTCAAGTAGGCTATTACAAGCACTTTTGAATCGTCCAAAAATCTTTTTTCCCCTACCACTTGTTCAGGACGTCTTTTAGCTGACAAGAAGAACAAGCGAAAGAAACTTATCAGCTTTTTATCATAAGTAATGACATTTACATAAATCATGTCATTACCAAAATAATATGTATTATCAATTTATCACAATAGTAAATACAACTTTCAAAGTCTGTAGGACATAAGTTGAACATATAATTAGTCTTTATAGAACAAAGCGAAGGCTATTAATTCCATGCATTGCGATCCTTAAAATAATCATCAACTTTATAATAGCCTTTACTCACAAGTATATTCTTTACATGAATTTGAAATTTATTTATGGGTAGGTCAATTACATTTTGTGGAACTTTATTGAACATAGCAATACATTTACCCAGAAATGATCCTCTGGTTTTTTGAAGTCTGAAGCTTGGAACGGCAAGTTTATCTTTATTTCTTGTGTTAAGATTATGAACACTACTTTTTTTTGTGAAGGAATCGTAATGTTTTCTTGTGTACATAATATTCTCATAGATGTATTGAGAGGCAACAGTCAGAATATTTATTTCTTTAAATATTTCTCTGAGAGATTCCCTAGACCGTAAATTATATATAGCACGGACAGCTCTCTTTTGTAAAATAAAAACATCCTGAATGCTAGCCGCAGAACCCCATAATAATATACCATACGTCATTACACTATGAAAATAACTAAAATATACCAATCTTGCCGTTTCAACATTTGTCAAGACTCTAATTTTCTTAACAGCAAAAGCTGCAGAACTCAGTCTACTTGACAATCTATCAATATGAGGATCCCATTGCAGTCGGGAATCTAGTGTAATACCAAGGAACTTTGTCGATTCTACTAACTCAAACGATACTCATAACTCATACGATTCTAATAATTTACCTGTTGACAAAGTTATAGCGGTATCTATAGATAATGAAAATACCTTAGCATCTACATCTTCAAATTTAGTTCAGTATACCAATCAAGAAAAACTTATTAACGTATGCCATATGCTGAGTAATTTGTCTCGATGAATATCCTTAATCACTTTTCTATTGTTATAAATTCGCGGACAATTGTATTGTGATCAAAACTACTAATCTGTGACGTCACATTCTTACGTTAATTATAAGCAGCGTAAAGTGGAACTGATGTACATAATGGTGTTTGTGTACACAGCTTTAGAATGGCGTTGTTTGCTTTGAAACAAACGCTTATAATGATAGAGAGGCACACGCTTTATTTTAGTGTAAAAGTGTATTTGTGACAATGCAGCTTACATTGATAATTTACTGTACGCTCCTGTTTTGTTTGGAATTTTCTGGTGAGCACTTATTCTTTATTATATTCTAATTATTTATAGCTTGAGGTCAATGATATACACGATCAAATTGGTAGCGTGTCATCCGATAATTATGTCAGTAGTCATTATAATTATTGAGTATGTGTGAAAAGAGTTATGAATATTAAGAAATTGATTTTTTTTTGCATTTTATATACTGCTTTGTATTCATTACAGGATTTAAGATGATGATATGAACGTAGATTTAATTGTCAAACTCTACAATTTTTTGACATTTTTATCAGACAATGACTAATGTTCCTTTCTCTTTCTTCTTTCTTTTGAATCGTACATGTAATATTTTTTTTGTGAAAAATGTAACCTATACTCTCAAATTTGTAACTATAAGAAAAAATTTGATTGATTTTTAGTTTCCTAATACCTGCATCTCATATTTCAGTTTCTATCCCACATGATTTCGATCCAGAGAAACATGTAGGGAAGAACACAATAAGACCGCCTTATGAAGCATTCAACCAAGCAAGGCCTTTTCATTATAGTCTTTGGAATCAACACCCAAGTAACGAAGGATCTTATAGTCATTTACAAAGGCAAAATCCAGAATATCCAAACATAAATCATGACGGCCACTATTTTAACGGCTTCCAAGAATATGTACCAAATGACGCTCAACAAACACAACAAGGGCAAATCCCAAAGGGATATTTAACCCAACAGAGCCAACAAGGATTTTCAGGACCTATTGACCATAATTTACCAATTCCAGTTGAAAGATCAAATTTTAATATCCAGTCAAGACCAAATCAGAAAACCACAGAAAATTCTTTGCCTAAACAACAATCAAATTTACCTATTGAATATGGTTATCCCACTTCGAACTTCCAAAACAGTTTTTTGACTGGTACAAAGAAATGGTCGATATTACCTCAAACGTTACAACAAGATGTAAGCGATCCTTTTAACAAGATACCTATCAAGCCATACAAATTAAACTCTCCAGTAGTACCAAACAGGCGAATTCATAAAATTCCAGAAAATGTGTTTATCGACCCGAATGAACAATACATATATCCTAAAAATATTGAGCAATCATATAATATCAGACAAAGTCCTATCGTGTCTTCTTTGTTAAAAAATAATCGACATGTAAATAAACCAGAAGTGGTAACAACTACTACAAATACGGTTGCCGGATCATTTGTACCACCAATTCCTTCAAGGCCTGATGGAGACACTATTACATCAAAATTAACAGATTATAAAATAATACCACCGGTGGAAATCAAAGAATTCAAAATACCGCCAGTAGCTTCAGTTAAGTTCGAGGATCGAGATTTTGCAAGTGCAAGTAATCCAGTAGAAACAAGACTGATTAAACCACCAAGTAAGTATAGTCGTAATTTTAGCTGTATGCGATGTTGCCTGAAATACCGATAAAGCTAAAATTATATTTTATTTGACAGTTTGTTTTATGTTTTAGATTACAAAGTACAACAACTGATCGCCGATTCGAATATAAGAAATGTATTATCTACAACAAAACACGAGAAACGTTATTTAGTTATCTATCCAAATGGTACAGTTGGACACATAGACAGATTAGAAACGATTGCTCAGAGTAATCCAAATTATGTTTTAATCAATTCTGGAGACATAATTAAAACTCCTATTCCAAAAGAACAAAAAGTACAGGAAAGTAAAGTGCGCACAAAACCTATCCGTGAAATTGTTTTTAATAAACTTCAAAGTGTTTCTATGGGCACCCCAATGGTAAATATTACATCGCCAAGCAAGAAATTACTTTCTCTTATATCTGTCAGTGCTGTTCCTATTACTAATAGCGCTCAACCAGAAATTCTAGAACATATTTCACTAAAAAAACAACCAACGAATATGTTATTACCCATATCGACTAGAAATATAACAAATTTAGTGCTTAATTCAACAAGTCTTCCTCAGAATGAGTTAGTACCACCAATCAATTTAAAAACTATGAATGTTACACTAGAATCCCCTCAAACTAAAACTTTCTTAGTGACGAATTCTACTATGATAGAAGAAGAACCAAAAGAAAAAGTAAAACCAACACTATTGCAAAATCTAAAGCCTGTTAAAAATATAACAAAAGATGCTTCTATAGATTCTTTAGCACCTTATCATGAACCAACTGAAGTTTACGGGAAAAACAAAACTAGGGATGAAATTACTAGTTCTAGTATATCTTCAAAAGATAATAATTTACCTGTTGACAAAGTCGTAGCGGTATCTACAGATAATGAAAATGCCATAGTATCTACACCTTCACGCATTTTAGAAATACCTATTCTACGAGATGCCAATCACAACAATGAACAACCGAATAATGCCAGTGACTTTTCGAACGTAACATCGAATTTGATGATTTCCGCTCAAGTAAAGACAAAACCATTAGTAGAAAATACAAAACCAACATTGTCGCCTAAACCAAAGCCAATTATCATTTACGGTTCAAATGTAACAAGAGATACTTCTACAGAATCTTCAGCATCTGATCAAGAATCAATTGAAGCTTATGGGAAAAATGTAACAGAAAAAGATATTGAAAATCCCATAGAGAACCATGCTAATATTAATAAGAAAGAAGTCATAGCTAATAAATCTTCCGAAGTCCCTAGCTTACCGGTTCACAAAGATGTAACGATATCTGTAGATAGTGAAAGTAGTATAAAATCTGAATCTTCACCCATTTTACCTGTTCTACAAAACGCCAATGATAATAAGGAACTGCCCACTAAAACCAGCATTTCCAAGCAAATATCAGAAGAGCTTGAAATACTAGATAAAATTCCTGTACTCTCTGAGGGAAACTTAACCCTTCCACGGACAGTAGAACCTCTCATAGATGTCAATCAGAAGATTGTATCGCCAGCTAAAGAAATCAATTCTAAGCAGACATCAGAGAACCCCAAAATAACAGAAGACAGTATTGCATCACCTTCTATAGTTATCCCAAATATAACGTCAGCTGACTATGGAAATTCAACACGGATCATAGAACCTCCTTTAACTGTCAATCAGACGATTACGCCGTCAATTGAGAAAATCAATAGTAGGCAGACAGTAAACTCCAAAGCACCAGAAGACTCCATTTTTGATTCTGAAGTCTTGTCAAACCCAACAGCTGAAGCATCTTTAATTAATCATGTACTTGAATCTCCTTTAGATGCTAAACAAAAGATTGAACCTTTGATTGAAGAGAATTCTAAGCAGACATTAAAAATACCCGAAATATCTGAACCACCAAAAATAGCAAACCAATCTATTATAGTTGATTCTTCGAAAAATACTACAGATATGCCTTCAAAGCCCGAAACAAAAGAAAGCTTTAAAATACCTGAAGGAGATCTTGGTAAGTTAAATTTGAACTTAAAAATAATTTATTGTTAAATTGTTTAATGAATATTAAAGCATTAAACATTATTACTTTTTAGATATTTCTCAAATTAAATCAAATGAGAAGCCAGACATTTGGATTAGGACAGCTGACGGTAACATTTTGGATAAGCTTACAGATCACAGTAAAGATTATGACGTTGTGTATTTCTTCCAAATACATAGTCAACCGAAAATTGAGAATGACACAACAAGAACTATATATCCAAATGGGACTATTGTAGAAGAAACGACAAAATCTGTTTGGGAGAACGAGGAAGGTAATTTATTTAACATTCTGTATAAGTCGAAAACGCGCTTAATTCCTAAATGTAAAAAGATGCCCCATAAAAAAAAGGTTATGAAAGTATCAAAAGTCATTTCTTTTAGTGTAATTTCACACAGTTTATTTAGACAATAAAAAATGGTTCAGGTTAATTTAATGGTTTACCTTACAACAGAGGTGGAAAAATGAGTATATTCTCAATGTTAAAGTTTTTTTTGTGTTTGTGTTCATTAATCTATACTATAATAAAAACGTAACCGATCGATGTCTGTACATTAAAGATATATGAAAAAAACTGTTATGAGGGACATTTATAAGCGTAATAGAACACAAAACAATGATTTTTAAATTTTTTGTCTGTTTGTCTGTTTGTCGGTTTGTCTGTTTGTCTGTGCGTTTGTGCACGATAATCTCAGAAACGGCTGAACCGATTGAAATGCAGTTTTTACTTTTATATTGCGGTATTCTTCCGTTAACATTTAGTGTGAGATTTATTTCAATCGGTTCACAAATAAAAAAGTTATGTCAATTTGAAGTGACATGGTCGCCAAAATTGCTATGAAATATTAACTGTTTTATTAAATTTTCGTCTTTGATATATTGATCATCATCATTTACTCTTGACAGTCTAACTGCAGGGCGTCAGGCCTTTGTTTAATAATTTTTGGTCACCCATCCCGTGAACAACTCTTGCGAAAATTGCTTAGTAATATCGATCGTACGCAGTGGCGCTTATCTGTAGCGCCACCCAGCTACGAATTAATATTGTCTATAAAATGATAATTTGTATGATGAAAAATAAAAATAAATAATCCAAAATTTTGACAACTCCAAAGAAAGTTGACCTCATTTATAAATGGCCAATGATATTAAATAGGATTCAGGTTATAATGGACGTGTGGTATACGATCACGCGAGTAGGAGAACAAGCAAAAAGAGCCTTCCGATGATGCAATTAGGCATCGAGTAATTTACAGTGAACGCATATTTTTATCACATTAGGTTGATGTCGTCGTCGGGGCTAGCGGAGGTGGTTGGCAGCCCCCGCATTGCACAGTTTCGTCTGTCTGAGAGAGGTACTCGATTTACCCGAGCCTATCCAATATTCCATCTGCAAGGGGACCAATGCCAAGTCCAATACTTGAGTGTTCTGGTGACGCGGCCATAGCTTGCCGGGTTTCATTCCCATGAGACGGTGTCATCATCATCAGCCCTTTTACGTTCCCAATGCAGGGCTTCAGGCCTTCCTTATGAATGGTTAAGGAGGATGGGCCCTCCACGCTGGCCCAATGCGGATAGGAGGGTATTAACGACTGCAAATGCAGCCAGGACCAACGGCTTAACGTGCCTTCCGAAGCACGGAGTAGCTCGAGATAATAATTTTTTGATCACCCATCCCGTGACCGGCCCTTGCGAAAGTTGCTTAACGACAATGATCGCGGGCCACGGCGCTTACCCACTACGCCACCGAGGGCAGTTCACTATCGCGTTCATGGAGGAGAATCCTACTCACCCCCTGTTGCTTGCCACGTAGCAGAGACAATGTCAGAAGCTTTGCCACGACGTTAAAAAAGTTAGATTCACGTCAACTGAAGTTAAGAAGGTAAAGACAACTCGATTGAAATTTTTTTTTGGCTTATTACAATTTTATATGTAATAATAATACTACTTTGTTTTTTTTAACGTACAAATTTGCTGTAGATACGTACTTCGAAGTTAGTATTTTCAGTCTTCGCCGGAAACAATGGTTTATTCATTTGTCACAACACATATAATATTACGCGAGTCTGAGGATCGGTTCAGAGTAGCTTGGTGGTGTAGTGAATAAACGCTCGCGATTGTAGTTGTAAAGCAACTTTCACAAAGGTCGGTCACAGGAAGGGTGACCAAAAAATATTATCTCAAGCAACTCCAAGCTTTGCAAGGCACGTAAAGCGATTGGTCCTGGTTGAATTTGCAGTCATTGATATCCTCCAATTCGCATTGGGCCCTCATGGAAGGTCGTGGCCCATCCTCCTTAATCCAAAAGGCTCCTGCAGTTGGTGACGTAAAAGGGCTGATGATGATGATGAGGGCCGTTCAAATCTGACGAAAGCTCAGTTAAGCACCTCTCGGAAGTACGTGTTAGTAGACGATTTCCTTCGAGTGTGGAAAGTCGAAATTAAAATATGTATATATTTTTTTATATCATTAATAAATAAAACTCCACGTATCTTCCGTCAGACATGTACCGACCGACTTTTATTGACAAAGAAAGAGATTGGACGGAATGCGTTCGGTCTAGGGAAACACCTGAATAACGCGAAGCGTATTTAACTACCCATCGCGAGGCTCATGCTCTATAAAGTTGAATCTGAAGCATTTACCGTCAGGGACATTCTCTTGAGCTCTGGGAGAACTCATACAACAAGCGTTTGATCTCAGGAAACTTCTGAAGATCGCATAGCGCGTCTAACTGCTAACCGTAACATACATGCAGTATGGTATGAGTATGAAACTTCCTTTGATAGAGAAATGCGCTTGGTCTCTGAAAGAGCTCGCAGTTTGTGCAATAGAAATCGAGAAATTAGTTTCGATTATCGCCAACCCGTGTTGCCTTCATACTCCACAGGCGTACCGCAGATGAGTTTTCACAAGGTATAATGAACTAGCTGTTTTCCCGCAACTTTGCCCCAAAATTATAGCCTATGACATCTGTGATGTAGCTTCCCGTAGGTAGAATCTCTCTGAAACTATCGGTCCAGTAGTTTTGGGCAAATTCGATGCAAACAAATAAACAACCAAATCTTTCCCGTTTATAATATAAGTATTTCTTAGGTATAAGAGGTCCGATGGCGTAGTGGGTTAGCGCATTCGGTTTAAATTGCAGTGAAATAAACAAGGACATACTTGAATACTTATTTTACGGAACTAAGTACAAACGACAAACTCATCGCTAGCAAGCGATTTCTTCCAGGCAACCTAGCATTACATGGAAAATAGAACAATAAATAGCTGATTGTGCATTCAACTAGATAAATAATAATAATTTTAAAATATCAAAAACAAAAGAAGGACAGTTTCAAGGTACGAATAAAATTCTCAGACACAGGCGACAACCAGAGCGCGAGAAACGAGAAAAAAGATAGAAAAATTACATTCGTAAGGACAGGATGGGTGACCAAAATATTATTATCTCGAGCACTGGCACAATGCACGCTAAGCTGTTAGTCCTGGCTGCATCAGCAACGTGAACACCCACTGATCCGCATTAAGCACAGTGGGTTATGGCCCATTGATCTTATTCGATTCGACTCCATTCATAGGAATAAAAGAATTCTACCAAAATACTTCCAACGCAGACGAAGTTGCGGGCACAGCTAGTCTTTAATAAAGGGCAGGGTACCCGGTTTTGGTCAATTCCCCCGTTTTCACCACATGGCGATCGGCTTCGAGGCGATCTTTTTAACGTATAGGCTGTATATATACTACTTTACCATCGACTATTTTTAAAATTTTGTATTAAGAAAAAACTACCTTAACAGCTATGCTATTATGTGTCAAAATCTACTTTTTTGTGGCTTTTGAAATAGCCAAAACCAAGATATTATCTTTAAATGGCCAAATCCGCGTCATCTGCTCCACATTATAAATGTTACATGTCATATACATGTCTGAAATCCCAATATAAGTAAATATCTAAAACACTTGTATTACGGAAATCTAAAGCAACGAACTTATCACAACACCTAGAGAGCCGAGACAATACAGATAAGCTTATTTTCTATATTGAACCGAAATGGCCAAACCGGCGTACCGGCACTAAACCTCGGAGGTTTTCTATATTGTTTAAAAGGATACCCTTGTCATCCCAAGTTTCTTATTGATTGCATATTTTTTGGTTCAGTGGTAATTTTGTAAATCTGTGAAAAGTTATAATCAATAATGCAGTTATGATATGATTAACATAAGTAATCAGTAAATTCTTTTTGGGATATAAACGTTATCGAATCTTTTATTCAGGATTATACACATATTACAGTAGTAATAGTTTTTCATCGAATCATAAACCACTTCCAATTATACTTAAAAATAAAGACAGTTTACAAATTCAAGAATGTTTTTTGTGACGTCTCTCTGGCGGTCAATAAAATAACTATTAAACTAATAATACTAAACGAAGCTCAGTTCTTTGCTTGATATCAATAGAATTAATTTTCTTAAACTTTTTTAATAGAGGAAAACTTTCTTAATAATATATATTTTCTAAATTCTCATTATGACCCGATAACTTAGAAATGTGATGGCAGTTTTTTCATTTTTGATTACAGTTTTGTTTTGTATTGCTTTTGTAATTATTCTTTTCATATTAGTGTTTTAGTTTGTGAGCCATTGAATATGATAATTCGGTATTGGTAGACTTTAGTAGTGATAAAATAACAAAAAAGACTTTCCTACATTGTCTCGGTGTTTTGGTACCTTCATGGTCTCCGATACTCCATATGTGAGCTTTAGCTACTCATCTTGGAATCTGAGCCAAATTTTTTTTGTCTAATATAACTAATTATGAACTAATATACCTATATATTTATTTGTTCATCGAGGTGGAAGGAAATTAGTAATTTCTTTTAAACGTTTTCAGGTCCTCCCATAGTCACGAAATCAACGAGAGTCATCAATCCTGAAGATAATTTAAATAAGAAAACGTAGAATAATTTATTAATGTAATTATTAATCAGTAGTATGTCTTTTGTATTTTAAGTTGCATGTAAGATGTGATACTAAAATAAATTTATATTTTTGTAAAGTGATTTTTAAGTATAAAGTTGTTTCTCTTTTTCCATTTTTTTCATTAAGAAAAAAAAAAACGAATGGAATAAATTAATATTTAAATGATATTTTTTTGCAGTAATGATAATACATAAATCTACTATGAATAAAATAACTTCTATATTAGCATACAAAGATTAGTATTGGAGCTCTACATATAAGTGGGTAAACGTTCGTTTCGTCAACTTCAATGGAAAAAGTTATAATAACCAAACCGATTGTGCCAAATTAAATATTTAAACATAGTCGGAATATAAATTGGAATAATATTATGTGGTTCCGGAATCAATGGAGACCACAGAACACACAAAAGTCTTAACCCAAAGACCGCAGATCAATGTAACTGAGTAATAACATAAATATTTGAAACGATACGAAACTAAATCTGTTACAGAGATCTCTCAACCTATCTTGTGTTGAGGCTCCCCGAACTATAGATAAGTAATATTGTCTTGAGCCAATCAACTTTTACAATAAATGCAAAAAGCTTACATTATTTACCACGCTTTCCCAGTTGGGAACTCCTGCGATAGAGTTAGATAAATCCTGCTTTACCTATATAAAACTTTGCACTTGGATTTTAGTCTTTTTTTATAAGATAAATCTCCAATCTATTTTAAACCTACTTTGAAAGTTAAGTGCAAAAATTCTCCGTATGTGGTTAACTCATTTTCTGCTTTGTGTAAAATAACGCGGCAGCGTATCATAGAAAATTATTTTAATTTAATTAGAGCAAGGTTTTACGTCAAATTTTAATATTTTTGCAATATCTGTTTTTATTTGTTTGACTCACTATTATGACATGTTATGTTTGTTTATTTTGTATGTGATGAATGTTTTTGGCTGTAACAACAGTTGTTTCAATATTCAAGACAAAATGTTATGTGTGTTTAATGTTTGTAATTACGATTACCGCGAATATGTTGTAGGTCCCAACTAGAATGTTCTTTCGGGTAAAATCCAGATGTTTCTTGATGTATCTGAGATGCAGATGTATCTGAGTTTAAACCTTTTCTTTGATACCAGATATTTTTGACCAGCGAACGAGTCTGAAGATTCTAGATAATTTAGAAGATCACTCTGATATCTGTCAGTTTGTTCGTTTTTTTGTGATAGCAGATTTTTTCCGAATGGGAGATGGTTAAATTGTTTGTGGTGGCAATTATTCGCGTCAAGGTACTTTTAAAAGTTTTAAGGTATCCAGATTCCGTCATAGTTTTGTCAAGTATCAGGTAGATGCGCCACAAGATAGGATCTGGAATTATTAACGTCCAAGTCTTGTTTGTTTAAACTCAGCGGCGGTAGATTAGCCTGGAGCTAGACATGACTCATGCATCACAAATTTGTAAGACGACCGAAAGTGGAGCTAAAATAAGCATTCTATCTAGAACATATTTTTGTAAGTTGTTGAAGCAATGGAAGAGTAGGCCTCCTTTGGGTTAAAGTATTGATGGGTTTCTGGACATGACCTTTAACGAAACGAAGATTTGGGAAATTTTGAATCGTTCTTATCATAATGATTAATTCTTATCCGTGAAGATTATGTATGTATTAGAGACAGTGTCAGGTTCTACCTTCGTTGCATCATAAATTATCGAAGAATTCTTTTCTTTGGAGTCGTATTAGCATTCTGAAAATATATGGTGTTTCGTTTTCGGAGTAATAGTATAGGCCTTCAGTGACATCTGAATTTTTATATGTAAAGTCTGACAGTGGTATTATTAAACAAGGTCTAGTGCCAGAGTAAACTTACGCTAAAATAGCAATTTTAGTATTAGCCAAAGTAATATTATACCTCTGTATGCATGCTTATTCTCTAATAAGCAAACCTTCTTGAAGTAAATATCACTCCCGTAAAACCTCGTACTAGGGTAAACTTTGCTAAGTCTCAGTTTAATAATATGAATTTTGACTATACTAATTGCAGTCTCAGCGTAAATTTACTTCAATTTACTTTAGCTGAACCTTGTTTATTAATAATACTGTAATAGTGAAATACGATCTCTAATTCTCTATTTTTGGTCAGTAGCTCGATCTACATTTACAAAATTTGTAGATAAACAAAATGGCTCAGGTTTTAATAATATCAAGTAACGAATTTAAAAACATGCTGTAACGCTGTAACTACTTTTTCATTGCAGTATGAATTATTAGTTCCAATGTTAGAAATCCCTATGCTCTAAATAGTTATAGAGTAGGTCTGTGCCCCATGAGTGGGGACACTGTTGATTTCGTAACAATATAAATAATTTATCATTGATATTCTTACTGAAAACCACTTAAAAAGAAACTGTCTCAATTATTACACACATATACATAGTCAAATTATTTTTTTAAAAGTATTTTCTTATATCTTTGTGAATTTAACTTACTAAAACAAATAACATTAACTATAAACACTGAACTATTTTGATTGCCAACAGTTTTCTGTGAAAGCGTAGTATTTATGAAGTTAGAGAGAGCACACAGCATAGACAATTTATCACGCAACTACGAAGCGAAAATAAAGTTGCGTCTTAGATATTTTCGTGATAAAAGGATGAAGATTCTTAACTATGTAGCTTTATCCTCATCAATTTTTAAGGCGGTGTCATTAGGCGTGTGTTCATGTTGGATTTACCACAAGACCTTTTCTGGCTTATCAGAACGGGAGATAGCTTAGAATTATTAATGGCGGAACGTGACATCCCGCCTCTTTAGAGGTAGATAGCCTTGCACTTATGAAGATAAACATGCGTTCACTGAAAGAGTGATATCGGGTACTATTTAGATAATCTGTGACTTTCACTTTAAAGTGTTCAAATTTAGAATCTAGTTTTTTTTACTAGTTAGAGCAATAGTTTTATTTAGTAACCAGCTTTAATAGCATTTATGACAAGAGTGTCAACCGCCTACTTTGAAGACTATCGGCCTGTTTCTGAATTGAGAAAAGGACAAAACCTTAACTATTATAAATAACTAAGTTTTAATTTTCCATAAATCAAATAATTCTAGTTTTTATCAAACTCCTATCAACTGATCATTAAAACTAAAACCACAAACGAAAATTTCTTTAAGTGACGTTTTAATACAGTTTGAGACGTGTTTAAGAGGGCGCGTCCACTGAAAATGAGTAACTTTAAATAGCTTTTGTATAAAAAAATAACATCCGAATAAGCTGTAATAAAATATGAGTCCATAACTACCAAAACATGAATTAATAAAATTTTATCAATAGAAAAAATCACAAAGTTACCCCTTAAATTTATATTTAATTCGTTTTCTTCTCGTCATTTTCTTATTTTTTGTAAGGAAAATTTATAAATATGTGAGTCACTTTGAGGCCAAGGCGAATATGAAAATATTTTGAAATAATTGCAATAGTTTGCGAGTTTTGGCACTTATCACCTTTTTATTCTGCTCAATATATCCATTGTTTTTCTCAGACAGGCTGCATGATTAGTTTTGTTTTCAGTTCCGGCCGCTCTATTGAGGTACGTGAGATCCCGTTACTTAGTTCGCCAATCCAAATAACATGAAATGAAATGAATTTTCAACTAACAAATTGTTCGTGTCCCTAGTTTATTTGCGGCTTGTGACTAGTTATGTTATGAACTGCACGAGTTCATATATGTATATGTAAATAAAAAAAGTGCAAAGAATCTGAACAAACGTGAGTATAATAACTAGCATTCGGACAATGTATCAATAATATTTAATTTTTAGCAGACAAAATTAAATATGAATTCTGTAAGGTAGAAAAATAATAAAATGTTAATTTTGCATAGTCTCAGAACTCCGTTCTGTTTCAATATATTGTTTTATGAATGTTATTACTTTAAGTATAGCAACAATTTTATAATATTTCCTTAAATATCTATTTCACTTTTATTGGAATAGAATAAAAATATTATCGAACATTAGGTTAAGAACTGGATTTTTACTTCAGTAATAATATTCAATGAAAATGTTAAACATTATAAAACAGCGAAATAGATTTAGAATTTAAAGTTACTTATTGGACTTGTGATTTTAAAAATAAATACTCCAAGGTGATAACTTATAAGCGTGCAATAAAAATTAAAGAAATTAGAACACTCACTCGATTTCGGGGTTATTTAACACTAACTTACAAATTTGAAAAATCACTTAAAAACGTCGTTTAAATACTATTTCACCACTATGAGCCGCGCTGCGCTCCTATCAGCTAGTTGCACAAACGTCCATTAAAATTTTCATTAGTTTAAAGGGACATTACCCATACAAATTTGACATTCATTAGACCTTAAAGGAGTCATTAAATATTAATGGACGTTTGTGCAACTGACCGTATGTCTGCCTACCTCCATTGTACAATTGTTAACGTTGTACCTACAATTATTTTTAAATATATTTTTCTTTTAATTAATTTGTATTAAAAAGTAAAAAGGAAATAAACACATCAGCTTAACATTCAAAAGAAGGACAGTTTATTAAGTAAACTGTTACAGTAGTGTAGTATTAAAAATGTCTCACGAGAAGAAAGTATTAAATTTCTTACCGTGAGACATTATTTTATATTGCTTTATTAATTAAGCAATATAAACTTCAATTTAATTCTGGAGATTTTCACCACTTGTCGTCTATATAATATGAACACCAGATGTGCTTTAAACTACACTTACACCAGTAACAGTGAAATACTAAAATTGCGGTAGATGCAGTTATAATATTCTGTAAAAGGAATCTAAGCTGCGTTAAAAGTACACCTACTTCAAATGATGATAAAGGTTTTATTTATTTGATCATCTATGGTGCAACAGCGCTGTGTACAACGCTGCGTTCTCGCTGCTCTTTTACAGAAAAGCGAAGCAGCTCTCCAGTACAGTGTAAAATAAATTTCAAAATATCTCAATGCAAAA